ACAAAATGTGTTTTCCCACTGACTGTTGTCTTGTTCTGGTGTGTATGACAGATCTGCTCTTTCTACGAACTTTCACAATGCTTAGAAATGTATTTGAAAACATTCAGAACGAGGCTTGATGCTTTTCACCAGTTTGATTTTTTGTGCTGTGCTCAAAATATCAGAACACAATGCTCAAGTGTTTTAGTTAAATTCTTGCTCAACTCACTTTAAAACCTAGCAGGTACTTCTATCATTCTTACTGTGGGTCTATTAAATGAGATGACTCTTGATTAATTAGCTGTTTTCTTTTTCTGCATGTATGCACTTATGTGGGTAAATTCAAAAATCAAAACTGATTCAGCGGCTTGATCTAGTCACAGTGAAAGAGTCATCTCTTTAGCTGTTGGGGAAAAAAAGAAGGGGAGTAGGTACTGAAAGCTTGTTTTTTCTAAAAACTAATTAACATGTCTGAATGCATCTGGGCTGTGATATTAGTTTTAAAAGTGGGAGGACATAGTTTGAATTGCTAACTTATCAAGAAGTGAGTCCTTACTACGGTTAGATTATGTACAGTACTGCTAATAGCGCTCTTTGTAAGTGAAGGTTTAATTGGCCTGAACCTAAACTAGGATATATTCATCAGAAAATGTCCAGGTAATACTGTAGTCAGTACTTTGGTTTATCAGAGCTTCCTTATGGAGCCAACTCTACTTCTCGTGTTGCATCAAAATCATTTCAAAGCACTGGTAGTAAAAAACAAACAAATAATATGAATCATATAATTTAGAACGTTTGAAAACCTGTCCATAATGCCCTTCTTAAATAAACTGACAACTAAACTGCCAGATTACATTTTCTGTCATTTTACAGCTGGCTTTTCATTAAAGCTCAAAGATCATCATAGTTTTTTTATGGGTATTTAAAAGAAATACGCAATTTACAACAAATGCCAGAAATGTTAAGTTATAAAAGGCTTGAGCCACTCAATTGTAACATCCCCGATATTTAATTATACCTCTTTTCTGCTGTAAAGCCAAATAAAAACACAAATCACAGGAAATACATAAAAATACATATTTTACACATACATATTGATGCTTGCAACACCATTGTTCATGGTGGCCATTTGATAAGTATGCAGTATGTTCTGAACACTTACACAAAATGCTTGAACTTCTGATATCACGCATGTTTAATTTATAAGGTTTCAAAGTATAGGCAAGTTAGAATTACGCTTGGGTTACAGAGGTGGCTAGGCAAAGCCTACTTACTTAGTTTAAGAAAGATGAGGTTGACTGAATACAGGGTTTTTTTTTATTTTGCACATGTACGAAAAGCAGTTAAGGAAATAACTCCACCCACACATTTCCAGGAAGCACAGAGGCAGCTTGAGTGAAAAAGTACTGCACAATAACTGGACTACTCATTGTGAACTCGTAGGGGCGGTTGCACATTTTCTGATTATATTATTACTGTTTGGTACTTGACAACTGCTACTGTGTTTTGTTTTGTGCACCTCCAGACGTGAGATCAGTGGCAGTAATGCGATCAGTTTTTATATATTAATGGTAGCCTGTACACATTTAGAATACTGCACAAGATTGATTGCTACAGTACAAAAGAGACCTCCTAAAAACAGTTCAGACATGATCGACTGAGATTATAGTTGACCTGTAAGATCTGCCAGAAACCTGCAGGTTAAAGGCACAGTATCTTTAGACATAATCATTACGTGAATCTAGTTAATGAAAATAAGGGTTTCAGAATTCCACAGATAAAGACATCGATGTCTGCCTAAAAAACCTATCAAGATGAAGTAGTTCAGGTGGGTAGCTGCCTCAGCATGCGTAGGCTGCAAAGGAGCAAGAAATAGGCTTATTCCCTGCTGAAAAGAGAAAAAAGAAAACACAACGTTTCGGCCGTGGAGCCTTGAAGGCTGAAGGCTGATCCCTGAAGGCTCCACAGCCGAAAAGTTGTGTTTTCTTTCTTCTCTTTACAGCATGGAATAAACCTATTACTTGTTCCTATCAAGATAAAGACTGCACAAAGGGTCTGAGTCCTAAAACACTGGACTTCTTTACACAATGAGTAGTGGGTGTCTGGAACAGAATGAATCATATTATTGTTTTTAAGATTCCATGGGATCTTTCAAGAAAAGACAAGGTGAGAGGCTGATAATAATGATCACATTATTGGGCCCCTTTTGTGTTGTGCCTCTACCTAGACTAAAAAAAAAAAACATGTTTTATGTTTATATACTTACAGTATGTTTTGCTTGTGTGTTTTGTACTTTAATGGGAGAAGCCAAAGACAAATGTCCATAGTAGTGGACACTAAAGTATCTATCCAAAGGACCAATCTTACATGCAAATTGCAAGCAGATGAAGATTTAATAACAAAAGTTGGTTTTTAAAGTGAAAAAGCCATCGGGTCCATCTTACTAGGGCACATTTGTAAGCACATCGGCGATTCTAAAATTTTGTTTTACTTGTTGACATATCCCAGATTTTGAATCGCAACCACCTGGTTGGGAAGCCTTTTCCATGTACCCAAAAGTGTTTCCTATCTTGTGTCCTAATTTAACTCTCTTACAATTTCCAGTTTACATTTTTATTTGATTCCGAGTCTTTTTCTATTCCTCAGGGGTTTATACACTATCCTAACTATAAATAACAATCTTCCACAAGCCAGGAAACATGCATGTTGTTGTTGTCTGATCTCTTCCTAAATGTCCTAAATATACCTTTGCTTTATGTGTTTTGGCTTTGTTGCTTCCCCAAATAATTCAATTGTAATATGGATCCATCCTGTGCACAACTTAAAGCAATTATGTGAAATGCAACACAAATATTTCTAATACCCATAAGGATCACTTTGCACTTATCAATGTTGAATTTTGTTAGCCAAGGTTGGCCCAATTCATGATTTTGTCGAAGTCTTGTGTGCTATTTCTTTCTGCCACTCCCCCTGTTTTTGTATCACCTATAACTTGTAACTAGTTTTAGCACTACAGTACAGGACTAGAATGAGTCTGGTTCAGAATTATTCAATTGGATAATACCAAATCTAAAAATCTTATACTTTAATTCTAATAGCAGTGTAGCAGTGCACTGAGCAAATCTAAAATAACATTCAGCTCTCTTGAAGTGCAAAGGAAGTTCTGTTGTTGTTTTGCATCTCTGGGTCTTGTTAAGATATAGGTGGGAAGTTGCTCTTCCTCCCCCCCCCCCCCCCCCACTATCTGCACATTTTGGCCACTTGCCTAGTTTCCTCTGCCAAGAAGCTCCAGCTTGGCCATGAACTTACATTTCAGTGTGATAATGGTCCAAAAAACTTACATCCAAATCGACAAAGAAATGGCTGGCTACACACACAATAACAGCTGTAGGCAGGCCATCTCAGTCTTCAGACCTCAGTCCAACTGAACATTCTGGGTTTATTTTTTGTGTGGTTTTGTGTTACTTCTCAAAGGATATTTCTATTTAATGAAAATAAGTAACTTTGTTTTATATGGCGTCTTTAAAGGTGGCTTCTCAAAGCGCTTTACAGAATGACAACAACAACAACAACAACAACAACAACAATAAAAAAGTACTCAAGATATGCGAATGCACAGTGAGAGGAGACAGTAGATGGAGGTACTGAATACAGCGGGAGCAGAGGGGCAAAGAACAGAACCAGTTCAGTAAAGACTCTTCTAAAGAAGAAGGTTTTGAGTCTGGATTTGAAGGAGTTTAGAGAAGGTGACTCTCTGATGTCCTTGGGGAGAGAGTTCCAGAGCTTGGGGGCACAACAGGAGAAGCCCCTGTCACCCAAAGAATGTAGACGGCCTTGGGGGACAGATAGGAGACCAGACTAAGAAGAGCAAAGGTTTCAACGTGTTTGCAACACCAGTGTTAAACTTGCAATTCTATGATCTGTGGGTACAGGTATTGTCCTTAATGACTGCTGGAATATACAGGTTAAAGCTCTGTGAATAGCATTTCCTTAAGTACAATTGGGCTTTTACATGCCCTGGTATACCAGCCTGATTTATTTGTTTTAGGATGACATAATTGATGTGATATTTCAGTTTCTATCATGCTAAAATTAATCAATATAGATTAAGCTCTTTTTATAAACTGGGACAATTTACTTATACTTTCCTTTTTTTACCTCTCAGGCGTTTTGGGAATGTGGGAGAAAACCGCAGCACTGAGAGGAAACTCGCACCAACATGCAAACTCCACGCACATAGCACCCCAGGTCGGGATCTGAACATAGGGCCCCGGCGCTGTGAGGCCAAGCACTGCATTACCAGGCCGCCCTCAATCAGCTTCAGCTGGTGAGGTTCGTTTACGTGTACCAGTCCAGTATGTGCAGTACTTTCACAGCTGCAGCCTTCAGTTCCTGTTTTGAAACACTTGGTCCCCTTCACACAATTTGCAAAGCACCTTTTTCCCTCACTTTAACCACCATATTATTATAGCAGCCATATTATAACAGACACAGAATTATTTGCAAAGGAACAAGTAATAGGTTTATTCCATGCTGAAAAAAAGAAGAAAGAGAACACAACGTTTCGGCCGTGGAGCCTTCTTCAGGTGTCAACACGTATTTCTAAACACTCATTAGTTGGCATGTACACACAATTAAATATTTATGCTTCTAGCGTAAAGGGATATGAATTTGTCAACACCTGAAGAAGGCTCCACGGCCGAAACATTGTGTTCTCTTTCTTCTTTTTTTCAGCATGGAATAAACCTATTACTTGTTCCTTTGCAGCCTACGCATGCTGACGCAGCTACCCACCTGAACTACAGAATTATTTGGGTTTTTTTGTAAGGCAAATTCATTTTGAGGCCTTTACTGTTGTTGAAGTATATATGAACGTGCAAGCGCACAATTGTCCGGACTCTGTATCCATCAGTTCACTTTGCAACCGCTGCCTGTTAGATATCATCTGCTCTGATATTCACCTCCCAGCCTCTACACAGTGTACACCACAGACGGACGTATGACCAAACTTTCCCTGTCACGTGTATTCGCTGTACTGTAGCTTGAAAAGATTCGGGCCAACGAGAGGTTTCCGGTTGATGCCTCTACAGACCGTTAAGGAGGAAGCAAACCATTGATTGCTCTGGCTGTTTTCTCTTGTTTAAAAACGACGAATTCATGAACCGGACGCATGTTTAAAACAATACTGTGCTGCCCCCCACACTGCACTATGTGATCAATGTGAATGTCTGTGGGAAACGAGCGGGGGTAAAAACAGTGCTTAAAGCCAGGAGTTGAGTAATAAAGAAATGTCAACGACAAGGCAACTTTTGTGGCTGCCTATTGCCTTTTTTATTTTAAATTTAATGCAACATTTAGATCATTTCTGAAACACATCCTATATCTTGCCTTAAAAGAAGATATTCAACCGGAGTGTACGAACTTTACAATGTTCTTTGTTGGTTTTGCCTACGCACCATGGTATTAAAATTGAGCTTATTCACGAGACTACGGTGCTCTACCTGTTTTTTCTTGAAAACAAAAAATCAATTTCATGTCCCAGAATACATAGGCTACCCGACAGTAAGACAGCTCATATCCTGATACGTAAACGTTTGTGTCATTTTAGTACGGAGCAAGACGTTTTTAACCTTTCCTTAGAAAAAGACCAATGTAAAGACAGACATCTAAAACTTGGCACGCAGAAATGGAAGTCCGTGAAGTTTATCCGCGGATTGTGATGTCTTTTTGAAGCTGAGATCTTATTTCTGCATTTCCCTGACAGGTCAGTAATACAAATCAGGTCGCTTTTTTGTGTCCTTAACTTCATAGTAGTCCGACTATATCAGATATGCAACTGTCCATCCACTGTTCCGCAAGCAGGCTAAAAGAAGAGAACGGTCTAAACTAAAGTATAAATTAATTGCAGAAGCTTGTTCTTGGTTTTGCTGCGGAGATCTGTCACACGCGCTTACCTAGTCGCGAGCAGCCGAAGTCCGTTTGGTATCGCGTGGTGACGCAGTTCAGTTGTCGCCTCGGCTTCTTCTCAGTTCGAAAGTACGAGTCCTGCCTGCGTAGAGCTTTCTTTTCTTGTCAAATGTTAAGCAAACACTTGAACATCTGAAAACGGCACACCGTGAAGGAGACATGGCACTTATGCTCGGGCTATCCGAAGGTGTCAGTGAGCCCTTTAGGAGATGCGTTAGTTAGCTCTGCTACAGCCCAGTATTTTTACTCCATCTATAGCGGAAATTTGCTTTGAGGTCGAGATTAAAATAAATAAGAGCTAACCCCTACTCCTGCACTACAACTGTTTTTTTTTTTTGCAGTAGCTTCCGGTGGATTTTCGTTTTTAGTAATTGTTTCTGTTTTAGCTAAGACGTCGTACTACACGCCACCTAACGGGATCTCGGCAACTAGTGAATATTTTTCACTCCCCTTTGAAAAACTTCCCGTTTTTTTCGCCAGCCAGTCAAAACTTGCCTGCAGTTACTTGGAATTTGCGTAACATTTAAGGCTAAGGGTCTTTGACGGATTATTTTCGCAGAGCTTTTATACTGATTATTTCATTATCAAGAAACAATACTCAGTTATTACTTAAATACGTATTTCTAAACACTCATTAGTTGGCATGTACACACAATTAAATATTTATGCTTCTAGCGTAAAGGGATATGAATTTGACAAATAGGAATATGAATACCTCTACGATAAATGCTTAATTATTTGAATACGAAAAATTAATAATTTTGTCCTTCTCGCTATGAAATTAAGTTTATATATCGTGTGCAGGAAATGTACACACATAATACACACAATATACTTAAACGCTGTAATGTTCTGTAACGGAGTTTTCTGTTATGGCAGAGCAGAGTTCTATATTTTCTCGAAAATGTTTTTCAACATTATTTAAATTGAAGAGCAGTACTCTGACGACACGTTGAATTTGAAACATGTTTACAATTTGTCAGCCACGTACTGTTAAAAACATAACTCAAAATTACTTATGGAGGGGAACTGCACTAGAAAATCAAGTGCTTTATGGTGGATTAATTATTACACCTCCCTGGCATTTTAAAAGTACAACACACTTTATATTGACGCGACTCTTCGTCTGTTCATAGATGTGTGTACTTTTCAGTTTGAAAAACAAATAATTTCACTAATTATATGCCTAGTGGGAAACTGACATCACGAATTTCGACTGTCTTTAAATGTTGTGGAAACTTGTTTTTTAGACAAAGCATGATTTGACTGACACGATTTACGGTTTCATGCAGTCATTGGTCGAAGCTTTGAAAATGAGGATGCCTCTTAGTGAAACAATGGATTTAAAGGGAATTTTAAAGCTGTTTAGCAAGTGATATATAGTCTTTAATTAAGCAATTAATCGAGTAATTAAGCCTCACTTGCACTAATTGTATAATGTCAAAGGCTGTCTTTGGTACAGACGTCACTTTTACGTTAGAGTTTATGCTGTTAACTAGTCTCATCAACAAGAAATAAATCAATCAATAAGCATTTAAATACAAATCTATCAATCTGTGTTCAGTGCAACGTTTTCCGATCCTGGTTCTGGGGCATTCCTGTGCCCTCTGGTTAAACGCTCTAAATCGCGTTTGGTTAAATAGTAACCCCTTAATTCCGCCAGCTGTTTAATTGTTCACTTTTCAGCAGTCGGATCTCAGCTTCAGAAAAGGAATGCATTATGTGCACCGCTTTAACTTAGAAATACTTAAGAAAGGGCCAATAATAAAGAATATCTGTCGTTTCCTTCACCAAGATGGCGGACAACGACTTCATGTAGGAATCCTGACGTAGGACGCCTGCGTTCCTTTGTGATTATGGTCATCAGCTGATCAGCCGGCATTCCCAGGAAAGCTAGGAGACGAGGAAACGCGGCGAAACAATGCTACCATTCCAATTCCGATAATTGTTTCCGTGAGTGACCGTTCTGTCTGCTTTTCTGAGCGATTATTACTTATTTGGGGTCGGCAGGCGATGATGTCTTTATTGCTTTTAGAGAACTCTGCTGCACGGTGACGTGTCGGTGGAGTCAAGTGAACAAGTTGTACTGTATTTACAGCGCGATTGTTACTGGGATGGTTGTCTATGTTCTTTAATACTTAACATCGTGATCTTGTTTTCAGCTCAGGTTCTATGCCTTGTCTATATTAACGTGACCTGTACTTTGTGCAAGAACCACCAAAAGAGTCCGTTGACAGTCTCGCTTCAACTAAGATGCAGTAAAAGGGTCCGTTTAATGTCGAAATTTTATCAGTTTGGTGCTTAATCACAGGGCTAAGTGTCAGTCATACATCTGAAAATCCTCGGGTATAAAGATAATTGGTATCATCCTTCTCTGGGTGAAAGAAGTGTATACACTTTATAACGGTACACTATTTTGCTATACTTTATCAAAAATAATGAAAGGAAGGATCCTGCACTACTTTCATGTACATCACACTTCTGTTAAGCATTCGTCTCTTGTTCACCTGGATTTTTCTTAACAAAAGTAGCAGAATATTTCACCACCCCCTCCCTGATTAAAAAAAAAAAAACCCAATCAGTCCAGGTGCTTCAAAGACAGCAGTGCAGGTGCGATATGAACACGAGTGAATGGTGTGCTCTGGCTTGAGGAAAACAGCACTTAAGTTCTGGAACAAATCGGCACCAGGCGACAATGAATGGGAAGAAGTGGTTAGAAGATGGATGGAAATTAAATATCAGCCTAACCCCTCCCAACAACTCAATTTCTTCAAGACGTCTTAATTGCAAACTCTGAATCCTTTAGGCAGTAACCCCTAACACCACATCTGCAGGCAAATACACACTTCAGAATGCCAGTGACCCAGGATGGCGGTATGCACGGAGCACCCCAAAACCAAAAGGCATGACAGAACCACGTGGAGTCGGTGCGCCTGGTCACGGAGCCGTGCCTTGAGGGATTTGCGTGTATTTTTGGAAGTTCTTTGTTTCTTTTTTTATCTAGTTATTCTTCTGTCTCTGCAGGTTTTTCTTTGGGCTCCACGGTCACCTCGCAGAACCCAAAGGGAGAGGCTGTGCAAGGTCTGAGGTCTGCCCCGTGACACCGGTCTAGACGGAGAGAACCTTCTTTACGAACGGGTTTGCGTGTTCTGCCAGGTTTCCTTTGGTTTGCCCTGCACTTCAAGGAACTTCTAGCCAGCTCAGCTGGGCTCTCTATGAAGTAGCAGGAAATCTTTCCTTGTTAAAGGAGGGACCTGTTTTCCCCAGGTTCTCTTAACACAGAAATTAGTCCAATGAAGGGTAGAGGGGAGAGCCAGGTGTTTTAACCCGTCCATACTCAAACAATTCAGCCGCGGGTTTTCTGGCCTGGGTGGAACTGCGAATCTGATCGTGTGTAAAATCAAGAGATCAGAAACTGGTGTTGCATTTCGAGAATGGGCGGAGCGCCGGCTCTGTGGCTCAGGATCTGCGCCTGTGGCTGGAAGGTTGCCAGTTCAAATCCTGCAGCTGGCAGAGGAATCCTACTCCGTTGGGCCCCTGAGCAAGGCTCTTAACCCCAACTGCTCCACGGGTGCCGTATAAATGGCTGACCCTGCGCTCTGACCCCCAGCTTCTCTCCCTGTCTGTGTGTCTCATGGAGAGCAAGCTGGGGTCTGCGAAAAGACAAATTCCTAATGCAAGAAATTATTATTATCATTATCAGAAAGAAACTATGAAGGACTGGTGAGAGATGCAGTTCTCACAAAGTGAGATGCTGAGATTTGTGTTCCACATTGCTGCTGGTTGTGCTATTTGCTCTTCTTGATTTATTCTCATCTTTCAGATTTGAATGGATAAAACGCTTTCTTTGGCAAGTGTAATTTTTGCAGGAGGTTTTGATTTCTGCATATGAATACCAAGGCATACAGATCCGTTCTACAATCTGATCTCTAGCTTGGTGCCGAAATAGAAAATTGTATTTCACCAAATAATACGGTTTACTGAATTAGTAGTTTTTTAAATATATAGTTCGTTCTGAAACACTTTAACTGTGCTGTAGTGATACATCGACAGCCCAGGTTTCCAGGCAGAATGTAAAGACACTGAGCCCAGCACTCAGTGGAGCAGGTGACTCAGCTATTTGGTTCACATGCCTGGAAAAAGTTGTCTTCTGTTTTCAATAACCAATTTTATTACTGCCCCTTTATTATACTGTATATGTTTTTCAGGAAGTGGTACTTCCACTCGAGCACGAAAACATCTCCTCCAGAGGCCAGATTAATGTTGTAATGATGTTGACTTAATTAGAATCGATTGCTTCTGCAGAAATGGTTTCCTGGAAGAGTGAATTTGTGGCTGGTTGAAGCGAAAGAGCTGCTGCATTGAAACAGAAATAAGCAGAACTCCTGTGTTCCCCTTTGTGCTTTTTCTGCTCCATAAAAACACGGAGAAAACCATGAAGGCAAACTTTTAGATTCTACACGGATCTATTTTAACACATGATTCTCCATTTGTCCCCAATGTAATGAGAGCTGTAGCCACAGTCCACTAAACATACAGTAGATTACAGGTTCTCACCATGTCAAGACATGATGCCAAATTCAAGATTTTCTTTCTACACTTGGTATGAAACTCTGTGTCAGGTTTCATGTTTGAGAAATAGTTAGGAAATTCATTTTTTCAGCTATTTCTATGTAGTGATGTCAAAAGGGCAGTGAATTCTACATTCTGTGTCGGAAAGAGAATATTTTATCCGAAATTACTAAGTGCCAGAATTGTGGGAAACATGGCCTTGGTCTGTCTGTGTGTGTCCTGCGATGGACTGGCATCCTGTCCAGGGTGTACCCTGCCTTGTGCCAAGAGTACACTGCATATTTTCCGTTTTTATATGGCCATGTCTGCAAAAGTGAAATAAACTGCAGCATTGCTATAACTCTTTTAGAACTTCATTCACTCTGGAATTGAAAATCCAAAGAGGCTGCATTTTGGAGAGCAGGTTGCATACAGTATGTATTCAGCACCAAAAGAAAATGATCGCTTTTAACTGCAGCAGATTCATTAAGTTATCGCCAGGACAATGAGCGTCTCTTTTTATAGCACGTGCAGTATCGTTGCATCAACCAGACGTGACACAATGCCAAAAGCACATCAGCAGGGGTTCCACCGTGGAAGCTTGAGTCTGGGAGTGTATTCATGCTTCTTGTTTTTCTTTGCAATAGAAGATAACAAAAAAAACTGCTCAGAGAAAGATCAACCCCCTTTCTCCTTTGCCCCTCTAGTTACCCGGTACGGTATCTGTGCCAGGATGGGTTCCAGAGATGGCGCCGAGCCCCTGAGCATCTACTCCCGCTGGTACCTCTACGCCATCCATGGCTACTTCTGCGAGGTGATGTTCACTGCGGCCTGGGAGTTCGTGGTGAACAGGAACTGGAAGTTCCCCGGGGTCACCAGCGTCTGGGCCCTCTTCATCTACGGCACCTCCATCCTGGTGATGGAGAAGATGTACCTGCTGCTGAGGGGCCGCTGCCCCCTGCTGCTGCGCTGCCTTCTCTACACCCTCTGGACCTACGCCTGGGAGTTCTCCACGGGCTGGCTGCTGCGCCAGTTCAACGCCTGCCCCTGGGACTACAGCCCCTTCGACTACGACTTCATGGGCCTGGTGACGCTGGAGTACGCCCTGCCCTGGTTCTGTGCCTCCTTCCTGGTGGAGCGGGTGATCGTGCGCAACACGCTGCGCCTGCGCTACGAGGGCGCCGGCGAGGGCGGCCGGGCCTGGGACCTGGTGTCTCGCTGTTTCCCGAGGCGGAAAGCGCAGTGACCTGCAGACCGAGGGCACGTGCAGCCATCACGTGGGTTTTTTTTTTTAAACGTTTTGTCATTACATGTTGACATGTTGTCATTTTGATACCGGTGCCTACAACCTAAACTGTGCATAACTCAGATATTTAATACTGGTGCCTGCAGCCTGGCTGTTCCCTGATAATCCAGTCCATGTTTGTGGGGATGTGCCTGTCTGTGTACTGTTATACTCTATAGAGAGCCCTGCCATATTAAAATGGGCACATCCCCAAAATTGAGATACTGCGGTTTCCAGTATCTACGATGCATCTGTGCCTGTGGTACACTTTTAACCCTCCCACATAACCGTCTCCAAGCTCTCATGATGCAGACAACCCAGCTGCTAGATACTGGTGTGGTTGTGTTCCCCCCCCCCTCTTCCTGTTCTGTGTTTTGTCACCATGCAGTTTCCATTTCAGGGCTGTTCATTGGAATAAGGCAGGTGCTCTAGAAATACTTGTGTTCAACGGGTTTTTGGTCAGACTTCTGTCAAGTTAGCTCTATTCTTTGTTTCATGTGTGAGCAAAGGACCAATCCTTTCAAGTGCACTTGGAATTCTAGGAATACGATTTACATGATTGCCCGAAGGCAAACATGGGTTTTGGATACTAGTAGTAAAGGTTTCCTGTCTTGGCAGGCTTCTTGGCTTCTCTCAGTGATCAGGGGACCTTTAGATTAAAGACCGCAGTGTGTTTTTTTTTTTTCAGCCTGTCTTGTGAAGTGTCATCTGTTTTCAAAGCCAAGAAAAATGAAACACCTGGATTGGCGGCAAGAATTTCATCCTATTTTTTACAAATCGCTTTCTTTTTCTGTTTTGAACTTGCAGTTTTTGTAGAAAAATACTTGACCCACTGCCTGGTCTCCAAAACTAAGGGTCATAGAAGAAAATGTTATTTCCAATTTGATACAAGAATCTGTTTCTTTTAAACTGAAGACTGGCAGATTTCATTTTGCCCCTTGGAGGAAATTAATTCAAAGTCACCATTGTTCATATTTTGGTTTGCATCCTAAATAAATTCAGTTTGGCCGCAAACCATAAAATAACCTTGATAGAAATGTGCCAGTGCAAACTGCAAAGAAATAAGTAAAGGTTTATTTCATCCTGAAAAGAGAAGAAACGCAATGTTTAAGACGTGGAGCCTTTTTCACATGTATAAAAGTTAAGCTATTGTAGCTTATTGCATTATAAATACTTATAATTATGACTATTCAAAAAATATATATTTTCAAAGAACAAGTGACCAGAAATTATTGATTTTTTTTTCATCAGTAGCAAAACTATTTTAATGAGATATGCACCACAAGTAAGAACACGTCTTTCAGAATGCTTGAAAGTCTTATAATACTTGAGCCTGTTTAATATCAATTATATAAGCTCTCGAGGCTGCAATAAGGGTTTATATTATTTTCGTGCTGTTCCTGCAGAACCTTGAATCAGAAAAGCTCGGTTTAAAAGTCATAGAGGAGTACAAATGAAACTCACAAGTAGAACACAGCAATGGTAATTATTATGCTGGATGCATCATTACTGAGACATCTCAGCATGAATTTCAATCTCCCTGGTATGATCCAAGTCTTGAAATATTTGGTGATTCCAAATCAGATCAGCACATATTGGAAAAATATGTATATAATGAAAGCAATTGGTGACTCCAATTTAAAAAAAAATACTTTTAGAGAGCCTACAGTCACAATGCCAGACACCCTGACGTTGGAGGGAACTAATCTGGAGTTGAACTGGAGCTCAGATCACCTAGGATAATACTTAGACAAGGCTGCTGGAGAAGTAATAATAATAATAATAATAATTGCTTACACTTATATAGCGCTTTTCTGGACACTCCACTCAAAGCGCTTTACAGGTAATGGGGACTCCCCTCCACCACCACCAATGTGCAGCCCCACCTGGATGATGCGACGGCAGCCATAGTGCGCCAGAACGCTCCCCACACATCAGCTATCAGTGGGGAGGAGAGCAGAGTAATGTAGCCAATTCAAGTACAAATTCAGGTCGCAGCAAGGATTTTAGATGTAATCAAGGAGTTGCACAACCGGGTTGTGAGTCCAACCCGCTGTTCAGTTTTCTGTCACTGGTGATTCACTCTGTAAACATTGCTGAGAGACTCTGATTGACTGCCGCCTCTCACTACTTTGTGTACTTGGAAGCAGAGTTTTTTTTTTATTGCTTTCAGGACACTACTGTTAATGACTCTTAAATTCATTGTGTTTTGGTTTGTTGAAAAGCCCATTTGTTATACTGTAGGTGTTTGATTTCAGTTTCGGTCTGAAATCAAGATACCTGAAAATGCATTATATGTAAAAATCCCCCAGTCTCCCACATTCCACGTGGAAGCACAGTTCCCTTTAGAAGAACCACCCATTCTTTTGCTTTGTCTTCGTAAGGTGTTTGATTATAACATCACTTGCCATTCAGCCACCTTAACAAGGTTCAACCTCGCATCAGACGTAGAGCTAGGGAACTTGTTTACCCACAAACCTTTCTGTAATTGCCTTTGGTTTGATTCATTGATCCCAGTGCCCAGACCTTGACCTTGTTAATGAGTTTTACTGTTGTTAATAAGCCAGACCCCTGCATCTCCCTGCATAACCATAAATGATTGAAGGGAAGGTCATTTCTAGACAACACCTTTTCTCCAGACAGAGACCCTTCAGTGTACTGCACTGGTTCCCAGTCCTGGTCTTCCCTGTGACCCACACATCTGCTGGTCTTCCAGCCCACCTTCATTAGATCATTGAAGCCTGACTTGATCTAAGAAGTTGCTTCGATTTAATGTTTGCATTTTGCTTCTTGTCACGTGTTTGGGATTTTATTTATAAAATACAACGGTTAAAGCTCTAATATATTTAGGAACCTTAGAGTCTGGAAAACCAGCCGGATTTAGTAAGACAACTTGTTGGGAGTTTCCATGCAGCATTTCAGGAATTGTAAAATTTCAGGTTTTAGCCTACAACAGCAGGAAGAGCCGTGTGTGCTGAATGTTTCACTCGTTATTCTAGACTTGTGTAGTTTCAAGTCTTGTATGTTCTCCTCTGTTTGCAAATTTTGGTTTCGTAGACATAATCTGGCTTGTAGCGTTTATGGTTTTATGTAAATATAAAACAGTCAATTAAGTGTCTTCTCTGGGGACGCAAGACTTGTTCATCGGGGTGTGGTGTGGAACAAATCTCTACAAAGAGCTGGATTGTTAGAGAGAGGCAGCCACAATCAGTGCAATTGCCAGTTCTCTGGCCAGTGATAGGATAGTGTTTGCAATGAATACAACAAGTTTTAAGTGCTGTGGCTTCAATGCTAATTCTTGACCTTTTGTGTTGACCTTTCCAGGACAGGCAAATTTGATTTAACCCACTCTGCAGCTAATTTGTTAATCTGACATTCCACAGTCTTCCAACTTCTTTGGAGATCCCACAAAAGGATACTGAAGGAGTTATCAATGGAGGACAACAGACTATAGAATATCTGGGTTTTCTATTGATCTATGTATTTTTTGTGTGTGTTAGCATTTTCCTTTAAAAAAACATTCCAAAATCAATGTCTTCACGAGCTCAACTTTCTGTCTTCTTACTGTGAACCAGACAAAACTTATGATGCTGTCGTTGTCAAACAAGGTCCAAATATTGGTCTGCAAATTATTTCTTTCTCTGGGGTCTGCTGCTGAGTTTGAGTCAATGTATCATTGATTTCCTCATTACAACACTGAGCAAATAGCCATCCAATCAGGATTGTTAAAAGAGCCTTAAATAATGTTTGTCTTTTTAAGAGTACAATTTTTCTTGAATTATGCAACTGTAGTTTCTGCAGTTTATGTTGCATTTTATATTTGTATCATCACCTGTTGTTCAGGTCCTTCATTTCTGGTGAAATGCTGAAAAATAAATGGAAAAGGAGCATCTCTATCAATGAAAGCGCAACTTAGGAATGCAGGTTTCTTTCTGTGATAGAAATCCAGGTGTACATTAACATCAGCCTGCCTTTAGGTGTGACTTCAGCTGTGACTACAAATGTTTCACTTCAGTGTTTCAGAACCTGTGTCAGTCTGCCAAATCAATGCAATATTTTTATTATTTTCCTATCTGATTTCAGGATCATGAATGATTTATGGTTTTGAAAACTGAGGTTTTCAACTAAAATTGTTTTAATATGCAAAAAAGTTTTTCATTCCAGTGGGTACACCCGTGTGTTGTGCACCTTGAATCTATTTTTTTTCTCTGGAAAATTATCTCCCTATACCTTTTTTATGTAAACTTTAAATCAAATTTGTGTCTTGTTCACTGCAGAGTGTTGTCATTTATAGATGCGAGTTGTTTTGGACAAATGTGATCTGTATTTTAGAATGTCTTCTCCTTAAATTCCATGTCTTTAATGTGAGCTAATAAATGATTTTATTCCCCAAATCATCAATGTATGCATAAATGTGCACATACGTTTTGTATATACAAACACAAAGGATGTTTAGGAAGTTATAAGGTTACAAGAAAAACAAAAATGGAGGAGAAAATGGCTGCAGCTATTTACACTGTATGCCAATAAGCCTGTTAACATTTTCAATACTTTTTTCTCTTAATTTGTTCTTAAGCAATCAGTGTGTACGGAATGCTTCCAATAAAAAAAAGTCACAACATTGTTCTATCATCTAATTTCTGACATCTAGGAATGTTTTCAGTGTTTGTACGTTTACTTTAATTCCCTGTTGCCTGGCATTGAAAACAGGTGAAATCAACAATGGTATTTTTTATAACACGGTACAGAGCAGAGCCTGTGGTAAGTCATTCAGTCATCAGATATTAACAGCCCAGTCTTGAATGAAGCTTCCAGGAATGCAAAGTACCGCATTTTCACAAGGCATCAGATGTGCAAGAGAGGATTTACTTGACGATCCTTTCTTTATTGAGAAATGAAACCATTTTATTTAATACATGTTAAGATGGAAGTGTTAGGTTGCCTCAAAGGATTTTAAAGTAAAGAGTCCTTTCTGGATTTAAAAAGCAGAGCACAGACATCTGTCCTGGAAATGTGAACCGAACAATTTTGAAATCATTGCAACAGTGCTGTTATGCTCTGTTGTTCCAGGACGGTAGCTGGTACACTTCCATTTCCCTAACGCTACATTCTTAAACGAGAGAGAAGGAAAGGTCATCATCCAGTTCAGTGCTCTGTTGTGATATGGTCTTAATGGTGATTTCTGGCTCATGCAGTGACTCTTGTTCACTCAAATGTTCCTGCTAAAATGAAGAATCTAGTTACAAATCAATATTTCAGCCCTTATGTTTTGAAATTTGGGAAGATTAGGCATTGCTACAGAAAGAGTATGTATTGGTGGTTTTATCTTTAAAAAGTAACGGTTTTCTGTCAAAGTGAACATACCTGTTGTAACATTGCTATATGTAACAAAATATGACCTACCCCATTTTAGTGAAAACCAACTTTTGGACATTATCCTTAGAATTCTTGCAGAGGCTATGATAATCGTTTATGACTGCTCCACAGAAGATGCACAGCAGCTACAGAAGAGAGATGCAGAACAGTGACTCTCAAGTGAATCAGGTCTTTAGCTGAGTGTTTTGGATTTATTACAAGTACACTAGACTTGATGTAGTCTTTAGCATCCCGAAAGCTTTTGACTAAGTAAACCACCCTTAGTACTTTGTAATGGAGATTGAAACAAAACCCCAGAATACGAGCAAAAATCAAGAGGAAGTGCATTTCAGAATGCCAATAAAAGAAGTAAAGAAATAAAAGTAAAGAAGAATAAATGTTACCGTGATAAGAATATCAGGACTCGGTTTGGGCTAAAATAGAAGTGCTCAACCAGTGCCTTGCTGGTAGGGATCTTTTAAAAGAAAATGAATATTTTCAAAATTAAATTTAGAAAAGTTAAAGAAAGGAATATATAGGTAAAAGAACTGCATTCTGGCTTGTATTCTTTCTCCAGATGTGTTTTTGTGTTTTTCTCTCTTAAAACAGTGATCTTAAAGAATTAAAACCTGTGCTATTTGCACTTTTTTTGTCACTAAACAAGGGCAGGCACATTTTTTTCAAAGGTTCGATAGTGCATGCAGATGACTAACGTTTACAATTTGAACCACAGTTGTAAGGTGTCCTGACAAACAAACAGTGGACTTTGAGCAGTTTGTGCCAGCTCTGTGGGTTTTGTTGAAAGATTTCCACAATGTGATCCCTCTAACATGGAATTGTGCTCTGCATATATGAAGTCAGGCTGTCTCTCCAGTCCTCTACCTATTTAATAGGAATTCAGAAAATGCTACGAACAGCAGGAGACTGTCAGGACTGTCTTGATATTATCTTAAATTAGCTCTCTTACAAGGAACTCAAGCGATCAGTTCCAGCAGGATGGCTGGGCAGTTGGTTCTTTACAATCCTGTGTTTATTTGGGTCTTTTATTGGCATTTTGAAATGCACTCTCTCTTGATTTCTGCTTGCATTTGGGGGGTTTTGTCTCAATCTCCATTACAAGGTACTCAAGGTGGGTCCCTTCCGGGATGCTGAAGACTACATCAAGTCCCTTTCATTAAGTCCTCTTAGCCAGAAAACCATAATTCGCTTTTTATGACCCATGTCACATTTTGGAGTTGATACCGATTTAAAGGTCTCAGCGTCGACCTGTTACATTATTTATGTTTTGAGTTTTTATAACAAGGAGATAAACTAGGAAATATCCTACTGCAAATAGCTGTGAGCTGCACTCTTTCCCCCATTAGCAATGTAGGAAATTCTTAATAACTCTCAAGTGACATGTTGTCAAGATGCCAGTCAGTAAAAAGCATATTCTAGACTCCCTCCTGAAAGGGATGTTGAACAGCTTTCAGTCGATTTTAATA